TTAATCGCCAATGAAGCGAAAATGTTTGCCTATATACCAAAGGACATTCAAATTGTCCAACCTTGAACTTTTTAGAAACATTATTTTGACCATCATCATTTTGTGTCTTTGAAAGGACATCGACCAAATAATTATCCTCAGAGGACAAATCATTATCTTCAGATGAAGATTCAGAATCTGAAGAATCATCAGGATCGGGTCGCACCAAGTATTTACTAATTCACAAAAGATCATAACATAAGCATGCATTTTTTTTTTGTTTAATTATAAAGTTAAACAACTCACCTGCAATTATGGGTATTATTAAGGTCAGTCAATAAAATTATCCTATTAACACGTTCAGACGCTTGTATAATGCAATTTCGCACATGCTTAATAATGTTGAATAGTTTAACTTGAGAAACCGCTTGAGAATAAAAATACATTTGAATGCTAGTTTCTTGAGGTATAAAAAGCAACCAAAATAATTGTTTGTGGACAACATTTCGCTTGACTGGCTTTGAATCGAGATCTTGCATATCATCATCCTCATCAGGAATACCAATACTAATTCCTAGGCCTGAGCCAATCTCATCATCTCCATCATCTTGATAATCATCTAATGCAGGAACTTGAGATATTGATTGATCTTCGGATATTTCACCATCATCGGGAGCGGTTCCAAATACAGGTGAAGTTTCGCATCTACCATCAGTAGACACTAAAGGCTCCCCAATTTCATCATCCTCACTAATATAGAAGCAATCCTCAACTTGATTTAGTGTAAATGGCCTCATATCTGCTTTACTTAACGCTTCTAAAAATAATTCATGGCCATGCTTCCCGTGTTTTCGACGAACAAATGATAAAGGAACATTAAACTTTGTTGGGAAATCCACGAAAGGATTTTTATTTCGTAGCTGTGTTTGAACAAATGATAATACCGAACGATCAACAGATTGTGATTTTAAGAGCATATGCATTATTTCCTCTTTTGTAAGCCAGTCGATGCGGTTTCGAGTTTCATTTAAAGCCTCCTTTTTGTTTTCAGTGAGACATTCGTACAAAAACTTGTTTGAATTTGTACTGCAAAGGCAAATTAATTGTTAATTTTTAGTATGCCATTTTAACAATCATTTAAGTCAAAAAGTAGTTAATAACCTTGTCCCATTACTATCATTTTTATGTTCAGCTGAACGAGAATTATTAACTTCCTTGTGAAGTTGAGGCAAAGTCAAACATATCAAGCGCAAAGTTGCTGTAGTGCCATCTGAAGATTCTACTGGTGACGCATCCGTTCCGATAGATTCAGGAGAAAAGTCATATAACCTTCCATCAATAGTACGAGAATAAGACGTAGGCAAACCGGAAGTGGGAAATTGGACAAATTTATCAAACTCAATTTTCTCTACACCAGACCCAATATTATTTTGACTTGTATTCTCAGTTTTTGGGATAGGCTTGGCAGGTTTCCTAAGTATACACTCCAAACGGATGAAAAGTGGATCTTCTGCGCAACTGAAAGTCTCTAGAAAACCTCCAGGAATGTCAGCGACATATTCATGAACGTCAATGGACGGATTACTTGACTTTTTGAATGGTGGCCGATAATAATAATAACAATTTTCCAATTCACCATCAGCAAAAATAACCGGTTCAAAGTAATGACCAAGCACGGCAACAAATTTTTGAGAGACGTCGTTTGCATCATCACTATAAAGAGAAAATAATGTCAGAATTTCTTTTTTTTCTTTTTTTTTTTTTTTTTTTTTTTTAGATTCTCACAAACCTACCTGTCTGAACCCTGACGAGTCGCCTGTACATGTGCATTAACATAACCAGTAATGTCTATATCAACATAAAAGTGTACACATGAATCAATTGCTTTTCGGAG